GGGTTAACTTATTGTTCACATAAGATTCACAAAACTTTCACATAGGATTCACAACACATTTGTCCAATTGATTCCGATTAGAAAATGTAAACTGTGTGAAAGTTTTGTAAACCTTATGTGAAAACAAAAATAAATAAACCATTTCAGGTATATGTCACACCAAAAACTTTTTTCTAGTTTTAAGTAGAGTGAGGAAGGATTAGAACTCATGTCAGGTTTCAACTGCTATCAGAGGCATTGTTACAGGGATTAACCTTTACTTCCTGTACTGCTGAAAACCGTTTTATTAGACAGTAAGTGAAGGCAAATCTGCAACAGGTTCACAGACAGATACAAAAATTCTAGCCCCTACCCATCTCTACTAAAGCAAATCGTTTTTATTTTTGCCATTATAATTGCTGTTAGAGGGTTCTCCTTACTCCCTGCCTGATGAAACATTGTCAGCAGGAAAGTGAGGGGAATTCTCTTAAACAGACCACCACTTAGCAGTGAAAACCTGAAAGGGGTTCTAACCCTTCCAACTATATCTAAAAGTAAGAAAAATGTTTTGGCTGGACATACAATTTAATAAAAGTAATGTGACTCTTTGCTGTAACCACGACTGTATAGTAGGGAAAATCAGTCTCACAAAAGCTTATCCAATCATTTGTGTGTATTTTTCCACTACTATCTATGTGTTCACTTAACCATTGTAATTGTTGAGTCTTTTTGCACAATCCCCCCTTCTCCCCTGAATAAGTCAATGAACTGGTGAAGTGCAATGAGATGCATTTAGGAGACACAGGAGTGATTGTTTTATAAAGAATTTTAACAAAAGATTGTACACTATTGATTCCACAATATTCCACTTTGCACCTATCAACTTTTGTTTATTTTGAATCTGCATACTGACTAAGTCTCCAGGACATTAGAGCATTATTATTAGGAAGGATTTATATAGTGCCAACAGTTTGCGCAGTACTTTACAATATAGGTAAGACATTATAATTACAATACAATTCAAGACAAGAAGGGCCCTGCCCGTGAGGGCTTACAATCTAAAAGGGAGGGGCAAGTGATGCATGAGGAGGTAGCTGTGTGGGGATGAATTGTTTGAGAAAGAGTTCAGTGGTTAGGTTGAGGTGGGATAGGCTTCCCTAAAGAGATGAGTCTTTAGCGATCGCGGAAAGGCAGTCAGAGTAAGAGATAGATGGACAGGTTGGGGTAAGGAGTTCCAAAGAATGGGAGAGACTCTAGAGAAGTCCTGGAGGCGAGCATGGGAGGAGTTGATGAGGGAGCTGGACAGCAGGAGGTCTTCGGTGGAGCGTAGGGGACGGTTAGGGTGATACTTTGAGACAAGGTTGGAGATGTAACCTGGGGCAGAGTTGTGCATGGCTTGCAAGTGGTTGTTAATATTTTGAATTTTATTCTTTGTGCGATTGGAAGCCAGTGCAGGGATTGACAGAGGGGGGTTGCAGACACTGATCGGTTAGTTAGGTGGATAAGTCTGACAGCAGCATTCATGATCGACTGAAGGGGGGATAGTATGTGTAGAGGTAGGCCAATGAGGGGGGAGTTGCAATAGTCAAGACGAGAGATAACAAGTGAGTGGATGAGCAGCTTTGTGGTTTCATTGGTGAGGAAGGGGCGTATTTTGGAGATGTTATGAAGGTGAAGACGGCAAGATCTGGATAGGGATTGGATGTGGGGAAGAAAGGTGAGGTCCACGTCAAGGATGATACCAAGCAGCTTGGAATGGGGGGAGGGTTGGATATTTGTGTGCTCAATCATGATCGAAAAGTTGGGGGAGTGTGCACGAGGGGGGAACTGATATGTCAGTTAGTAAGTTAATGATACGTGAATAGACTTAGGAGGCGAGTTGTGGAGAGATATATTTGAGTGTTATCAGCATAGAGATGGATGGTACTGGAAGCCATGTGAGGTGATCAATTGAACATGAGAGGAGGTGTAGATAGAGAAGAGAAGGGATCCAAGGGCTGAGCCTTGGGGAACATCTACAGAAAGTGGAAGAGGTAGATTTGTAGGCTACACTAAAAGAGCGCTTAGATGGGTAGGAGAAAAACCATGAGAGAGCAGAGTCTTGTAGGACATGCAAATGGAGTTTTTTGAGGAGCAGTGGGCGGTCAACTGTGTCAAAAGCAGCAGAGAGGTCTAATAGCAAGAGTAAGGAGTAGTGGCCATTGTTTTTAGCTGTTAGTAAGTCATTAGTGAGTTTTAGGAGGGTGGTTTCTTTGGAGTGTCGGGGGCGAAAGCCAGACTGGATCAATGAGATGTTATCAGTGAGCATGTTCACAACTGTAATTCTAACCCATCTCAATTCCCTCACCCTCCTGCTTTTCGGGAACATTTCCCCTAACCCTGGCCCCACACCATCTAGATTTACTCAGAACACCCAGCACCTTTATTCCTCTGGCAGCAGCCACAATTCAAGCAATCTTGTTTCTATACCTGTCCTCCCAAGAACCACTCCTTCCTTCTCATGTACCCTCTGGAATGCATGCTCAGTCTGTAACAAGCTTACCTCCATACATTACCTCTTTATTTCCAAATCGTTTAACCTACTTGCTGTTACTGAAACCTGGCTTCAGGATTCTGACTCTGCCTCGCCAGTTGCCCTTGGTTTCCTCCACTGGATTCACTGCATTCACTTTTTCACTGTCTGACCACAACCTCATCAGTTTCACACTCCCCCTATCATTAGCTCTGTACCACCCTGAACAACAAACTATTACCTTAGACACCCTTTTTACTTTAACCCTTCCCTTCTCTACTTTGCAACAGACTACCTTTATGACAAAATTACACTCCTGTCCTGCCCTGCCCTGCCCTGCCCACTTTTATCTCACTCCCATGCTGTATAGACACACTTGCCCCACTCATCCATCACAGAATTAGGCCCCATCCACTACAACCTTGGCAAACAGATGACACCAGAAAAATTAGAAGACATAGTCATGCTCTTGAGTGAGTATGGCATAAATCTAAATCCCTATATTAATCTGCCCTCTAAAAAAATAGTTCCTGACTCCATACAGCCATACACACCTATCACATTATATTAACACTTCTCGTCCAGTCCTCAACTCTTTTCTACCTTTACCTCCCTACTTTATCCCCCTCTGCCTTCTCCAACCAACTCACTGACTTCCCAGCAGATCACCAATCACTTCATAGACAATATTGATGTTATTTGTTTTGAAATCTCCACTATTCAGACATCTCTCACTCCAAACATGCCTTGTATGCTATCAAATTCAATGTTTTCTTCATTTTATCTGTTACCACAGATGAAGTTGCTACTCTTTTGTCTAGTCCAACAAACACCTCACCACCTGCCCCCTGGACCCATACCTTCACAAATATTTCAGTCACCCTCTAGTTCTATTATACACTCTCTTACTCACATCTTCAATCTCTCCCTTTCTAACGGCATTGTCCCCACCCCCCTAAAACAAGCATTGGTGACCCCATAATAAAAAAACCCTCAGTGGGCCCACTATTTACCTCTAGACTTCTTGAACGCATAGTCTAAAACCACCTGGGCCACCACCCTACCATTATCAGCCTTCTTGACCCCTTTCAATTTGGCTTTTGTCTGCAACACTCCACAGAAACTGCCCTTCTAAAATGTACTGCCCTTCTGAAACTTACTAACAATCTACTAACTGCTAAAATCAATGGTCACTACTCTATGCCCATACTTTTGTACCTTTCTGCTGTATTTCACACAGCTGACCACCCACTCTTCCTCAATAAACTCTAACCCCTTAGCCACCAAGACTTCACTCTCTTAGTGCACCTTCAGTGTCACCTACAACTCTACCTCCTCCTCTCCTTTTCCTCTTTCTGTGTGGGTCCCCCAAGGCTCTCTCCTTTTATCCATTCTCTATCTATATCTCCTCCCTGGGCAAGTTTATAACCTCCCATGGCTTCCAATACCATCTATATGCTAACAACAACCAAATCTATGTCTCCACTCCTCAGCTCACCCCTTCTGTCTCCTCACGTATCACTAATCTACTCACTGACATATCAACACCACTTCCTCAAACGAACCTGGCCAAAACAGAGCTTATAATATTTCCTCATTTTTGTGTCCCCTCCCCTGACTTCTCCATTACAATCAACAGCACAACAATCAACCCCTTCCCTCAAGCCAGGGTGCTCAATGTAAAACTTGATTCTGACCCCTCCTTTCAGCCCCATATCCAATCACTATCCAAACCTTGCCAACTCAACCTCCATAACACACACAGACTCATACACATACACACACACACACACTCACAAAGGTTGAACTCAATGGACCCGTGTTTTTATTCAACCTCAAATACTATGTAACATTCCCAAAACCCCTTTTTAACAAATGGCACTGCACTCTTTCTGTGTGGGTCCCCAAAGGCTAGATTCCCCCCTACTATATTGTAAGTGCTCATGAGCAGGGCCTTCCTAACCCTCCTGTACTGAAATTGTAATGTAACTGTTCTGTCTCCCTCCATTTTTTAAAGTGTTGCGCACACTGTTGGCCCTATATAATATATATAATAATCATAATTTGGAGTGTCTGTTTATAAAGGAGAGTAGTACTCCAGTGAATAGAACATTTAAAGATATCTGGTAGCCCTCACCTTACAATCAAAGAAGCAGCGGGGGTGGAGGAGACTCTGGAACATAACAGCACTAATAGATTTTATGTACTTTAACTGTGGTCTTTGATGTTGGTGGATGAATCATGCACACAATTTGTAATGTGCAGACTACTTATGTAGACTGACCATTCTTATGTTAAGGAGCATACACACACAGAGAAAATAAATATGTGCCCTTTATATATTTTTTTATAATTTATTTTTGTGATGAGAGTAGTTGTTAGGTCTATTTAGCAGTCATTACATTGTAGTCAAAGTTATGTGACATGTCAATTATCCTTTTACATTAACATGTTATGTAGTATATAATTTAGCTTCATAACATTAATTTTTTTAATCTTTTTTTTCCAGAATTTTGAAGACAATGCATTCCCACATTCTACAGAACAAAGTCCACAAAAATGTGAATTGTGCATCATCAAATAACACATACATTTGCACTGTACAATATGAGGAACCTGTATATATGGCTGAATATTCTTTTGGAACTTTCTTTTCTATGGTCTTGTGCCATATGCATGAAGTTTTCTAAATTTGTAAGTCAGCAAAATAAAGTTTTAAATCATGCAAGAGTTAAACGAGGATGGCAATGGGAATCTTTAAATGTCCTTGAGGAGAAAGAGGTGGAACAAAAACTTTATGTAGGACAGGTAAGTAATACACATTCATATTGTAACAGTACATCTAATAACTTGTTTACAATAACTTGTAAATTTGTTTACAAAATTTCCTACAGGCATGTGAAGAACTGCAGAGGCAGGGGGGGCTAGCATTTCACCTCAGGGGTAGGACCTTGCCTGGTTGTGGGGTGCAAATGTAAGTTGGGTGCCAGCCAGATTAAGGTGTTTTAAAGATTTTATTCTTCACAGCAGCTAACCTTTAGGCTGATAACAGCATCACTGTACATAGTAGAACCTCAGCTGGTTAGCAGACTTCTTCACACATCCTCTCACAAGAGTTTCCAGACCCAGGTAAGGATTAAGCATTTACCCAGTCTCACCTTCCAGACAGCAGGCCTAGCAGAACTAACACTAGCATGGAAAAACAAAATGTATTTTTAATAAATATTTAGGTTCCTCTCCCTAGCAAGAAGCTTCATAGTGTGTGGCCATGGAGACATAATTATTTATAGTCCAGCACCATTGTATCTTCTGGGCTTAGGGGAAATGAAAGGAGCACAGCGCTATCAATTTGGAGATATATATACAGTATATATATATATATATGACATACAGCGTGATATTCTTCCCTTTTGGTAGTGATTGCCTTTGTTTTATGCATTATAAATATACTCTCACTTATCTTATTTGTTCTACTAGATTCCTGGAGCTTTTCTTTTCATATTGTTTGTAATCACACCAGGTGTCCTGCACTCTCCCATTTCAAAGTCTAGGCAATTTTGTGTTCAATCAGCTCCCTTCCCACCACTGTGCTGTGGTTGTGTGAACTGAAGAGTTGTTTGAATGTAGTACTTTTCTTCCAGTACAGTGTGGTCCAACACAATCCACCATATCACACTGTGGTCACAAAATGACATTTCAATAAAGTTGTAACAAAACAATTAAATTGTGCTGCACTGTTTTTAGTGCATGGGCACTGCAGCCTTTACAGCCTTTACTGTCTTCTAATGCAGCTGCTGATGTGAATGGGTCCTTAAAGTGACATTAAACCCTCCGATTTTTTAACATAGACCAATACTGTAATGTGTGCCTTACTGTAATCCATGGTTGTTCCCCTTCTCTTTGCTGCTCTTCCTTTTAAATCCTCATGTCTTCTCATGCTTGGGGAGAACTTCCCTTTTCAGCTCAGGGCCTCTTCCTGTAGTGCTGGCTCAGGTTACAAGCCTATAGAAACTAATACACAGACATCGTGTATCCATTCCTGAGACAAGGCAGTCTGCTGCAAAACAGAAGTTCTGCAGAGCATGAGAACAGATACAGATTTAAAAGGAAGAGCAGCAAAGAGAATGGAAACAACCATGGATTACAGTAAGCCACACATTACAGTATTGTTTTATGTTAAAAATCTGAGGGTTTAATGTCACTTTAAATTTACCTATTTTAAAAGTGTTCAGGCTGGTCATGTGAAGCACTGGGTCTTATCTGCAGAGAGTGGCACCTACCTACAAAAAAAGGAAATAATCTGCCTATAACTTGATGGCATGTTAGACCTTGTACCTAACTAGTAGGTACACAGATTGTAGAGATTGAAATAACAAAAAAACAAAGGTTCCAAGGGACAAAGTAAACTATGAAGGAGACAGTGGTCCCCTATTTACCACATGAAACATCTGAAATTAACACAGATTCAAAAACTTCCTGGGGTTTGTGCACTGTTTCTGGATCATTGCCATTTTTAACTGTTTGGAAGTGATTCAGTGAAAGAGTCATTTTTACTCTTAAGTTTGCTTACTTCAAAAACCCAATTATGTGCAGGAAAATTTTATATTTGTTTATTTTATTGCACATAAATATATGTGTTTGAAGTGAGCACAGGTTAATTTAATCTTTAATAAAGATTGAACATTGCTAGTTTAGTAAATTAGGCCCTTTGCATCTAGCAAGTTGCTGAACACAGCTGAACACAGCCCAGGTGTTACACATAGTTGTCCAGAGCAAGCCATAAAAACAATGCCATATTTATGCAGTGGCAACAAATATTTTATGTAAATAGTATTTATAAATAAGGATCAAATGCACACAAAGAGCATTAGTAAGTGTTCATTTTTTTCTACAAAAATTTTATAGCATGCCAAATAATGGCTCATACATTGCAATCTGTGTTATTCGCATAATTATCATACTCAAATGCACAATTAAATAGCGAACACATTCATCGTTTTGAAATAATTATCTTAATTAGGTATTTATTTTCATTTTATATATATATATATATTTTTTAAAGAAGCTTACAGTCTATGCTATGATAGTATGCTCTTTAATTGTCCTGCCCTGTTTACAAGCCTGAAATTAACCGGGTTTAAGTTCTAACTAAGTGGAACATTTAATTGGACCCAGAGGGTAGTGGAAACAATTAGCAGTTTTGTTATGGTCTGTGCTAAAAAGCCAGTCTTTGTTCTACACAATTAAATAGATGCCAACACATTTCTCCCTGTCTCTACATATATCAAGGCTCATGACTTTTTGCTTTACAATTAAACAGTCTAGAAATTGGTAGGTTAATTAAAAACAAGGTAAACATATATGTTTATTAGTGTTTGTAAATGTGTGTGTGCACTTTTTAAAACTGTGTTAATTGGACTGTGTTCTCAGTAGTTGTGTATGTCTAGGCTCTCACAAGTATTTCAAGTTTGGAGAACCCCTGATTGTTAAAAACATATTAGCTAAGTTGGGAAATGTTATACCCAAGTATAATGTTTCCATGAAAATCAGTTTATGATGTGTTAAATAGACTTAGTTGGACTTGTTTTGCATATTCAAACAAACATTTTAATGCATGTGCACATTCTAATATTCTAATGTGGTCAGATATATTTATATTGGACATGTAACCCCACACAAAATGTGTTTCATTTTATTTCAAATCGATTCAGATTTTTATTTCTTAATTTTTTGGATTTTGGATCCACAATTCAATGCGCTTCATTATTCGAATTTCATATCTGTCCAAATTTTCGTTTTTGAAAGATCCACAACAGGAAGTCATGTGACCTTGCCTGTAATGCAATCCCCAACAGCCAAAAAAAATCTGCTTGGCCAGAGAACAGTCACAGTCAGTCACAGTCAACAGTCAGATTTAGTTTTGAACGAAATTCAGATAGATCTGAATCTTCGTTAAAGAAACATTCGGATGCGTTTGCATTCGGATGCATCCAAATGTCCGAATTTAACGAAATTCGTATAGATAAATATTTGGAATGAAACTAAATGTACATGTTTAACTTATATAAATGTATATATTTTCAGTTGCAGTTTATGCATTTGGTGCTTTGTATATTTTCCACATGCACTGTATAACTATAGAAGGAGAGTAAGACAGCAGACAAGGTGTACCGTAACTTAAAATGTAAAATTTCAGAAATCTAAACTCAATGATTTGATGAATGCCACTCATAAAAATAATTATTTGGTCATTTACATTTTACAGTTTTCATTTAACAGTTAAACATTTTATTTGTTTCTGCTACTATTTTTCTTGACTTGGGAATTTAGCTTATTTACGCAGGCAGCTGGTAATTTATATGTTAGTTGTAGTAACTATGAGTGTTACAACAGTGGCACTCTATCCAAGAAAATGTCAAAAGCAGCTTGATGAAGGAATTAACTTGTCAATATTTCCATTGGTCTAACATCTATTAATGCTAGGAGAACCTCTGGCACCAGCCAGAACTATTTACAGTCCAGCATTCACATAATTCAGTTTTAAATATGGCTTTAAACAGCTTATTCGAATGTATTTCTATTTATTAGTTTCCTGTTTTAGCAAGGCAGAAGTAATTTGTAAGAACATCTACACCCCCACTGTAAACATATGTTTGGTGCAGACACACTGAAGTATTCACCTGGTCGTTTGTGCACACCTTTTGCTACATATAAATAGATCTTGGGGGCTATCACTTATTGATTATTATGTACCAGATTTAAAGTGAACCTGAGCTTCTCATGCATTGCTGTACCTTTAAAGTGATACTGCAGCCAAGTTGTGGACAATTAGTTATTAACATATTTTTAACATGCAGTAAATAAGCTTTAACATACGGTCTTACTTACCTGTGTAGCTGCTCTGTGGACTAATTAACCGTTAACGTTCATAGCAGAAGTACTTAAGTCATTCTCTTAGCAGCTTAGCTAATCCTTTAGCTTTCTAATCACCAATATAAATACAGGTGCTCTAGGAAAGGAAAACTGAGTGAGCTGGACTGCTGAAAGAACTGATTGATTTCAGTGCTTTTGCTGTGAATTTGAGGATTCATTATTTCACAGTGTCCGCAGCTACATATGTTAATAAGGGCTTGACTTAAAGCTAATTTACTGCTTGTTTGGAATATTTCAACTTATTCAGCATTATACCCAACTACAACAAATTTTAGACCTCAGCTTTCTGATACATCAATATTATTTGAACATGAGGGTTTTTGAGTATTGCAAGCAATGTAGTAGAATGCTTGCACAATCTCTTAAGTCTAGACAAGCTAAAAATGTTGTTTCCAAAATACATACCAAATTACTCTATGCTTGAATTCCATCCTAAATCACGTAGCTGATGCTTTTCATCAATACTATTCTACATTATATAATTATACAACTCTTCTGGCCCAATGCTCAGGCCCAAACAGCTTATACAGAGGACACCACTTCCAACCCTGAAGTGACCAAGGAAATTAGAGGTGGTAACTATTTTCTGTAGATGTTATTATATATTTTCCCTCTTGCCCTTTCCCATGCCCAAATGGCCTCCCAAGTTCTTTCTACAAACAATCCTTAGTAGAATTGCTCCCTATCCTGCAGACACTCACAATACTGTCTCACCAAGTGTCCCTTCACCAGTCAAGCTCAAAAGGCCCATATCACCATTGTCACAAAAGAAAACAAGGACCTAATGTTGTGTGTCAGCTTCAAGCCTACCTTACATATTAACATGGACCCTAAAATCTATGCAAACTTGCTATCCAATAGACAGAAATGTATCTCCTCAACAGATAAGGTTTGTCCTAGGCTGTGAGGCCTGCAACAACAACATTAACCACCTCCCGGCCCCACCTCTCTAGATCTAAGCGGGCGTCTTTAGACGTCCGCTCAGTCACACCCACTCGGCTCGAGGTGCATTACAGGCACGATCATGTGACTTCATTCCGAAATTAAAATTTTTACTGCCTAAAGCCTAAAGCTTTACCTGACCATTGATTCAGTGTACTGTGTTCTACTGGAGACTCATATGATTCTTTGTTTCAGTTCACTTGTGTACTATAGACTCAGAACTGTTGTATGTTCTGATTCTCAGTGTACGTTTAGCTGGCTGATTAGTTGCAGGGCCGGACTGGCAAAAGCTGACCTCTCTCACTCCAGGATCATATTGCCATAGCTGCTGTCCTATAGATTCAACACTGAACCCTTTCAAATGAATCAGTTATCAGTTCAGGCAGATGAATAATTTCATCCAGTTCACTGAAAAGAATCAATTCAAAAGAACAATCCATTCATGAACTGGACATCACTGTTCCACACAGCCAGATGCCCAACTGGACTGTAAGGAGGAGGTATGATGACTTCAAAGCAGGGGAATTTTTCAAGCAGAGGCACCTGAAATGTATCTATTCCCCTGTGTGTACGCTCAGCAAAAAAACAAAAACAAAAAAAGTTACTGGAGCATATAGCACTTTGTAGCTCTTCCCATCTCCACCCTCAGCTCTGCCTATACACACACCCCCTTCCTCTATTTCACAATGCCTAATGGGAGATGTTGTCAGCTCTCTATACTAGTATATGACATGCACTGGTTACCTAGATCTTCCCACTGGCTGCAGGAAGGACTGATCTAATAATAGGAGGATAACTATGAGGATGACTATTATTATATGTCTTAAACCCCTCTATAGCCTTTCCTAAGCTTCTCTTGGGTTGTCATAAGTTTGAGAAGGTATGTAACTTTAAAGTTAACTATTCCACATCTAATGCATTGGATAGTTGCTTGACGGAAAAAATAAACATATGTAGCAATGCAATACAATAGCAATAGCAATGTAATACAATAGCAATGCAATACAATTTCCAATAGTAATCAAAGTACTGAAGTACATGTAGATATATTTTCTGCAGACCCTCCAGAAACCAATGTCTTGAAGTAACTTCCATTGTTACATGATCCCTTGATGCTTAGCACTGCATCTTCCATTCCTAGTTTGGAAGAGCAGCAGTCTTTCAAATGGACATAGTGCCAAGATATCTTTACTTGTGCCAGTAAGCATCCCTCGGTCCTTTTTCTGATAACTTATTTTGGCTTTGCTGAAATACATTTGGGTTAACCATGGCGCCAGACTTAGATACAGTATCTTTGTCAGGTGCAAATGGACAAATGGGATGGGTCTCTAGAATTCGGAACTCTATTAGCATGCCTGCCTGCTCACTGCGGTCCTAGATAGGCATTAAAAGAGGAGCATAAGATATAGATTATTATAGAATGTCACATCTCACATGCTCCCGTTTTCCTTTCCTTGGATTACCCTATTGAATGGACCTTATTACTACTCCGTGCCTTTCTGCTTACCTCCCCATCCCACACACACACTCATACACGCACACACAAACACTTAAGACCTGGAACACTCTTATTTGTACCTTACAAATGTATTTGTTTGTGGGATCCATGACTTTAGTTTCAGAAAATCCTGGATTCCTTTCCCACATATATACTGACTTTTTCCTAAGATGAAGTAGGGGAAAGCCCTGCCCTATGTACCAAGTTCTGCTAAATGATACTCTGAAACCTTTTGTGGGCTTCCCATCCTTTCCTTTGTGGTCAATGACCTCATTATTTCAACCTTCAGGATTTCCTTCACTCAATTCAAAGTTTCTGTCAATAGATAATATACAGCATTTGAGTTGTGTCAGAAACCAGTAGACCCCACCCATACTATTTTCATATGACCTATTATTAAAGTCAAAATACACTTCTTCCCCGTATTATATTTCTGCTTGGGAAAAAGAGCTCCAAATCAATTTGACTCAGTCTGATCTGGACCACTAGGTGTAGCTCAGCACAGGAATAGATTAAAACAATTCTACCAGGTAGGTAAAAAAGTCCCCTTGCCCTACACTGGATTTTTCCTACTACTTTACCCGATTGCTGGTGGTGTGGTGCAACAGTGGGTACTATGCTACATATTTGGTGGCACTGGCCACATCTCAAAACATTGTGAAATTAAATATTTGACTTTTAACAGAAGGTTACGGGTTCTTCGGTGTCCAGTCAACTGAAATTGTGCTACTCTTTATTCTACCTAACACTAATTCATCTATTACCATAAACCTTTTTTGGGGGGTTATTCTGTACAACGGAAGATCAAGACTCTGCACTATGAGGCCCTTGGATCCTTTAAAGGGTGTTCCTCCTCTTGAATGGAAGACATTTAGGTCCACAAACTTTTAGTGCATATGTTAAACAGTAGGGGCTAGAGACTTCAGACATCCCTTCTACAACTTTCTTACACCAAGATGGCGGACCCCTCTACTGTGCCCATGCATGTTACTTTCTCTTGCCTTTCTCATTTTCATCCTTACCCCTCATTTTTCATTTACTCCTTTTCTTTTTTTTACTCTCCTTTTGTATCTTCCCTGTGGCATGTGGCCCCCATATTGATCTATTCCTTATGGACCATAGACATCGAGTAACCCAATAGCTGGGTTGCCCTTCAGTTTCCTACCCTTTATTTCCTACCATTATCGGATGGTGATATGAATAGTCTATACTCTGTTATATTTAACTTGTTTTGTCCTTTAATAAATGCTAATCATGTGCAAAAAAAGTCAGCATTTAAATGTCCTAAGCCTGGCAACAGATTCACATCTTAGAGGTCAGTGCTTGCACAAAGTAAGCAGTTCTCAGTGTATTCATTTCTATATGTCCCACATGTGATCACACAGAGGACCCCACTTTACAAAAACACATTAATGAGGCACTGTGTAATCACTTAAATTTACAAATGTATGCAACACAGTACCTTTGCTTTTTATGTAATAAACAATTCATTGTCAGGTTTTTGGGCTTACATGATGGATTGTATAACTCCAAAATAAAACTGAATTAATTGTTTAACCCCTTCATGACTGAGCTAGTTTTTAGTTTCTGTTCCTAAATGACTGACACACTTTTTACATTTTTGCTGTGTGATTCTTCTACAGCAGAGCTTTTCTACATAGCTTCTAATACATTTGTATTTTTTGATAGGAATTGATTGACATCTAAGACATAATAAAAGGCTAAATATAAAATAATCCTGGAGTAACTGTTTGCTGCCCTTTACACGACTCGTCTCCATAGTATGCAATTACTTTCTTCAGCCTCTCTATTAATATGTTAGAATGTGTTATTGTCAAGAGCAAGAATAAATGTGTGTGAACGGGGGACTGATGGGCACAGAGAGCTTTGAAAACAGTATAAAATGAGCGGTAATGACTAAAACATATCTTATGCTATAATGTTATCCCTTAGCAAACTCCCAGTAGTGTTTTTATATTTGCCTATACAACTTCTTTAATATATATATTTTTTCCTCACTAGCTTAAGTCTGATTCTGATAAACAAGATGGGTCAATTAAATACATTTTATCTGGAGAAGGAACTGGAAACATATTCACTATGGAAGAAGATTCAGGAAAGATATTTGTTCATAGAAAACTAGACCGGGAAGAAAAATCATTTTATACTCTCAGAGCACAGGCCATAAACAGATTAACAGGAGTCCTTGTTGAAACTGAATCTGAATTTGTTATTAAAATTCTGGATATCAATGACAATAAACCAAAGTTTATCCATGGACCCTATATTGCTGAAGTTCCTGAAATGTCTCCCATAGGTACAGTATACTAAACAGGTGTTTGAAAATGTCTGTTGTCTCATGCTATGTGAAATATTGCTTGAATTATTTTTTTGTATACCTGACCAAAGTCAAGAGGTTTTCTTGCCTGCAATTAATGTCATCTTTAAATGATTTATGGTGGCATGAATTTAAAATGTTACCCTTGAAAGGTGGCTAAAGCCCAACATTAAAATGTTAAAATCGTGTACATAGTAATAACAGATGACCGCAAGCAAGTGTTTACTAGCAATTCAGTAAGTTGAAATTATGTGACCTATCTCTAAAGAGGTAAATGAGGATAACCCTACATTGAAATTGACCGTAAAACACTCCATGCACATGTATCTTTTGTTTTAGCTAAGATTACATACAGCATCAGCACACAATCTAATTTATCTCCCCTTGAAAACAAAAAGGTTTTCCAGGTAACTGTCACAAATTGTTTTTTCAAACAGTAATAAGCACACTTTAAATGGCCATAATTACACTGTGGCTCCCCATGTTTTGCTGATGCAAAACTGTCCTGCTGCTGGCCAATTTCTGTGGCCAGTGGCCTCTTAAATTCTCATTAAAAATATATAGTGATAGTGTTTGCTAAATGCATGGATATCAAGCCTTTAGTGCAATGCTATGGGGTAAATAAACCCTGAAAGAGGGAAAACTGTAGTAAAGAAAGGGAGTACGGGCAGGTATTTTACTACTTCGAATTAAGAGAATGCAGATGAAACAGCAGTGTACTATTGACCAGCAGCAGAGCAATTTTAATAGCAAAACTGGCACAATTTTACTAGAGATGAGCAGAGGATGGGATTTACTACAAGAATAAAGATAATACAATGTATGCATAACTTTTATTTTACCTATGGGGATAAGGAGTGTGTTGAATGTGAGTGATATATTGTGAGGTAGTTTAGGTGGACACTGTTTATGCACTTAGCTTTTTACAAATGATGCAGTGGAGCTTAATAAACAGATGAACTGTAACAAATGAACACTGCACTTTATGCACCTCTTTAAGCACCCCTTTAAGCACCCACTTATAACTTATAAATAAAGGCCCGGTCAACATAGAAAATAAAAACAAATAAACCACAAAACAAATGAACACTCTAAAACACCACCCCTTAAACAAGAATTTCTATTTATTTATTTCTTTTTTTCTGTTGGTTGAATATAACTATGTCATTCTTTTTCTAACACTGTTACCTTGGATATTCACAGTGTTTCAAAATATCTTATTTAGCTTTATTTTTTAAATATTTATAAACTTTGGAATTTTGATACCTTAATGTAAAGGTTTCCTTTCTTCTGTGCAATATACTTGAAAAAATCTGAACGCCTTTACTGAAAATAAATCTAGCAATACTATTTTCTCAAGAAAGGTCAGCGAGGGCTTATTGTATTTTAAGCCAAGGGATTTTGATTTTGAACCACAAAAATCTTCAAATATTAGATTTTGTACGTTGGGTTCAAGATGAGTTTGAGGAAAAGAGTCACATAAAAATCCAACCATCATAGGGCAGTCACGTAAGCTATTTCTTCTGTATGTGGCTGTGTTCCTGCATTTATTAAATACAATCCTAGAAAGCAGCACATTACAGAGCTTTTACATTTCTGTTTTGCTTTGTGTCAGAGATGTCATCAGTCATAGATAATTGGATTGAGATTACGTAGAGAGGCAGGTTCCATTTATCTACCAGTTTGTTTGTATTCGTATTCCATTGAACAAAACATTTAATATGGTTAATATTATTATTCCTATGCCCTATATGTGGTTAATTTAAATAGATAACACAAATATTCAATCAGATTTCTCATATATTGTTTGTTCTGGTATTTGCATATATGGTGTTCTGTTCTAGAAAAAGGTATCGTGAATGTATATAATTGCTATAAGATAGATAGATAGATAGATAGATAGATAGATAGATAGATAGATAGATAGATAGATACTGTAGATAGAGTTAAAAACCAGGGATTAGCTTTGGGTTTGTGTCAGCCATCAGTTGAACCTGAACCCAAGTTGTGCACAGTTCACCGAATGTTTAAATGATTCGGCCAGTTCACCATCCCACCAAATCTCCATCTGCAACCACTAGTTGCTAGGATGCCAGTGACTGGGCTGCAATGCATCATTGATAGGATACAGGAGGGCACACCATAACACCCTATGACGCTGTGATGCAGCAACAGCCTTATCAACCAATTACACTGTGTGGGCCGCATAGCGCCATTGATTTTTAACATACTGGCAAACTAGCTTCTGGCTGCTATGTTGCTGTGCAGCTCAAATGCTAGCATTGCATTTTTTTGCACATGATTGGGTATCTGACAAGACAAAGAGGTGAACTTTACTTCTTTAGTAAAACAGTTGTTACCCCTTATTCATACACAAGGAGGTCCGGATCTGCGTGCCCCCTTAATGAAAGGGGCACCTAGATTCCTATAAGCCCCCCTTCCCGCAGACCCCCTTAACCACCAAGCCAGGGCTTTGGGGAAGGGGCCCTTGTCCTCATTAAAATGGGGACAATATGCTTTTCCAGGGGGTCAGCCCCTGGCAAAGCACCCTTCCCATTTCGAGGGCATATAGCCTGGTATGGTGCAGGAGAAGGGGTCACATGCTCGCCCTCCTCTTTCCTGCTCTGCTAGGCTGCTGCTTGGATCGGTCTTTTTTGGCATTGGGGGTTCCCCCTAAAAGTCCTACCAGTCCTTAAGGGTCTGATGTGAATTGCCGGAGTGAACCACACACTGTTTTTTTTATTGTTTGCGTGGACTGTCAAAAGTTAAAAAGAAAATAAGTAAACATGTCACTTTTCTGCAACATAATAATTGTTTTTCACTCGTCCAAATCTGAATGCCGAAACTAATTGACTTTCAGACCCGAATACCGAAAAACAAAATAAGAAAACATCCAAAACAAAATGCAATGAAGCGAAATATTTTTTTGCCAGCGCACATGTCTAGTCATCAAATGTAATGCAACTGCATTAGACATGAGAATGCTGAGTGACATTCCACCACCAGAGCCGCAGGGAAGGAGGGGGAGTGAGTAGTCATTGCTGCAGGACCGAGGATCAGGTGAGTATATCTTCTTTATTTTAGCCCTTATAGACCAAAATGAGCAGTTAACCTTTGCAGTTGTTACCCAAAATTGTAGGTTAAGATATGATTCGCTATATATGCGTTCACACCTACAAGTATTTAGTTATGAGGATTTAAACATGAGGATTTTTTTAGTTCAACACAACAACAGAAATGCATTGGTATATAGTACTAAAACTTAAATACAGTGAACCAACAATCTATTTAACTACTAAACACACAGCAATGATTTAACCTCTTGCCGTCCGCCCGTAGTAGAAAAACGGACGGACGGCACTGCTGCATTGGCGGGTTGCCGTCGCCAGAAGGCATTTTTTTTCTGCTCTCGCGCGCCCCCTAGCGGGCACGCACGGGCAGAAAAGACCCGTCCAATGCGAACACCCGGTACCGGGTGTTTCACATATAGGCGATCAGCGGGTCCATAGCCTGCCGATCACCGCAGCGCTGAATACTGAAAAATGGCCTGGATGGGAAGGGGGTTTAACACCGCGGATGTCAACTGGTTAAGCATGCAGAGGCATATTAGCAAAATACACAGACGGTGATATATACAAGACAAATGACATATACTGTATATATACATATATACATACATATATGTGTGTGTTTGTGTGTGCTAAGTGTGTATATTTGCCAGTTAACTATCATGTGAGGGCCCCATTCTGGTAGTTCAAACAACTAATATTTCCTGCCCAGTTTGGATCAATATAGGTCTTGCATTCACAGACTTACATGGAGGGGCACTGATTGGTGGCCTCTAAGTGCTAATCTAATCAAATTAGAATAATTTTCTTGGGATTGGATATTTTTCAAATCCCCTTTGTTACAGCATCCAGCCCCTTTCTATGTGAATCTTCAATGGCTCTACTGTACCAGACTCTGAAGGGAAAATTACAAATGTGCAGGTGCTCACAGGCTAACCCCAGGTCATGACTGTATCTTTACAAGGGTGGACAATCTAATTGTTTATTTATGTACAAGTATCCTTTGAAGCTCTTAACCGGAGGCTAAAGAGAGTATGCACGTATTCTCAAGATAAATCATCAAGGCTCCGAAAAGTCCAAGGATCTTATTGTTTTTGTCCTAAACATATGTAATTAACAGATAATGCCTGGGCATATCAGTAATCACATTCAAAATCACCCTATATTTAATTTCCCAGGACAGTAAAGACACCTTTATTTTTTACACCCAACATTGAAAACATTTATTTACAAAAACTATATACTGTACATATGTTCATGGAGAGTTGACATAAACCTCATAAGATAACACAGTATGGGGTTAGTTCTACTGCAAGGTTATTTTTTTGATTGCCTGGAGTTCTTCCTTAAAGGATTTGTGCATTTTTCATGTTTTCACTGAACCTTCTCTTATTTGTTGCATTGGTATATATCCCCATAGCAGAACCCAGCTACCCATGATCTTTTTTTTTCCAAAAACTTGCAAATTGTCCTTGAAAAAGGTCAGAAATCAATAACAAGTTTTGGCTCCTATGGACTTCAATGGGGTTCATGAGCTATATTTGGGGTTTCTGGATTTCAGTCTGGGTTCACAGATTCTTCCATGAACTGAACTCAGGCCAGTTAACTCATCACTAATGCAAACATAGACATATAATATATCCTTCCAGCCTTAAGAGTTAGTTCACAAATGATTTCACATTCACTGCAATGCTGTACTTTGAGCAAACTATTGCAGTCTCATCGCTCTCACCTGATCCCTGTAGGAGACAGTATATGCCAGAAATTGAGTTCGCCTTTGCAACCGGCTAAGTCCACTCTTAAAGTGCTCCCGCCCACTCCTTGCGTACAATGATATTTTACTGGTCTAATGAGTAATTGAAACCAATGCAGTCTATACATCTTTATGTGTCTGAGATTCTCAGCCGTGGTGCCATGCTGCCATGCTGGCTAGATGAAGAGACATTTAAAGTGAATCATAGACAACTACTAGAAAGAAAATCTCCAATTCTTTACATGTATTAAATGTACATTTGACCAACATGAAATGGCTGCTGTAAAAAAAATGGAAAGCTGTACATTTAGAAGGGCTGAAGTGAATTGACACTCCCACCATATACAATCTTCAGCCTACATAAGTGGCTTTAAGTGCTGTGGTCTAGGGAGAATGGTTGTTATGGTAGTGGCTGTTATTAGGTAGAGACTTTTAAGTATTCAACATTTGTTACATTAGGAGTGTGAAATAAAGCTTATTTAGTGCTACTGCTCATCTGGCAGTCACACTCTTGTGAAGACATCATAGTTTTGTGTGCAAACACCAATGGCATAGAAATTATATTTTTTTTACTGGGTACTGTCTGATTCTAAAATATTACCATCAGTTTAGATCGTCCTTACTCTTGCAAACCATTGCCGATCCAATGTAGCATTTTACTGGTTTTGCCTTTGAATTAAAACATAATGACATACTGCTGCAGACCTGCTTTGTGTGAAAATAAATTAATACCAATATATACCACTGACTGTTTAAAAGCACATTAAGCACAAATTTCCTTTGAACAATTTGCCAACATGTTGCTTGACTTCATTAGTGGATTTTAGGGTAATATTGAGCACTGAAATTTAAACCATGGATGAAATTGTTTATTTAACTTAATTGAAGTTTAGTGAACTCCAAAATACTTCAAAATATGATTGAATGGTACTAGTGGAATTTCTAGCAGCTGCCAGTTTCATTAAAGTGTATGAGGAAAGATAAGAACGGCTGTCAAGTTTTTGTTTCTTTCTGTGTTCCTGCTAGCTAAATTCACTCTTTCTCCATTTCTCCTGGTGACCGGTGGTTAATTACCCCCAAAGTGAATCAAACAATCAAAAAAAAATTAGAGGGTATAACCCTTCCCTGCTGTATTAAATATAACAAATGTTGTAGCAATGCATAGACTTTATCTATAAACTTTCTATGTGTGTTTGTATTTTTTAGATTGTCCCTACTGTTTCAAGTCATTGCCCATGAAATATAGCATTTTACTGGTTTTGCCGTACCTTTGCATTATAAAAGTTAAATAATGCTGAAGACCAGCCTTATTTGGAAAAAAAAAGAAATATTAATGGATTCCTTGCATGTGAGGAAAGATACAATTGCTTATTATGAAATTCCCTACTAATTGAAAATATTATAATAGAGAAATGAATTGATCAAATCCAATTTTTTGTGTGTTACTATTATATAGGACTAATGCATCCATACTATTATATAGATGTGATGCAGACTAAGTAGAGACGTATCCTGATTGAGTAGAGTAGTTACAATTACACATTGAAATATTATAAATACTCTAATGGAGATCTTATTTGGCAGGTTATAGCTCTGTGTGGTGCCTGCTTAGCCACACATAGGACTTTTTTGTAATGTTATTTTCAAAATGACAATGAGACAAAGGGGTTGTGACCTCAGATGCAGTGCAGATGATTCCAGGGCCTGTTCTACACAAAATACAAAATGTCAGGGTTGCTAGCACCAGCTGTGGCAATAAGCAGATCAGAACCCCCACAACCCATGGGCTCTATTTTGACTATCTCACCACATCTCACTTACAAGTCTTGTTTAAATTAATCCGAGATGGAAGGTAACATACTGAATTATAAGTGACAAATAGCACCTCTCTCCAAACCCTGTGTAGCTGCAAGCACTATAAGAAGTGTTACCCTCTGAATATATTATAATAAATGTGCTGCGCTTCATCTAGAACAATACATAACCAAATCTCTATAATAAATATGTGCTTAAATAATACATGCAATCAAAAAAGTGTTCACAATGAATCTTCTTATAAATAATAGTTATCTGGAAGTTCAATGATATATTCCGTGGTGCACTTGGGACAAATCTTGAGCACTATATACGTGTGATTCCACATTTGTGCATATTTGAACACGGAATATATGATTTAACTTTCCAGAGGACTATTATTTATAAGAAGATTCATTGTGAACACTTTTTTGATTGCATGTATTATTTAAGCACATGTTTATTATAGAGATTTGTTTATGTATTGTTCTAGATGAAGCGCAGCACATTCATTATAATTTAACATACAGAATTATGTTAGCTTGGAGGCAGAATACTCATTCATGTTTAAAATCTTTTCAGGAGGTCCCGGCATCAGTCTTCAATTTTGGGTCACAGTGTATGTTTTTAAAAACAAATCGATACTAATGGACTATCTTCCACATCTGGCCAAAGGCAGGAAAGAAGCACTAGCTTCCACAAGTTTGGCTTCTAATGGAGCATCTCACTCGATGTCTGGTGATGATTAAGGTGACATCTAGAATTATGGAGTGGTGACCAGCATAACCACAGTAGAATGAGGAGAATGATGGCACAATAGAGGGGGATGTTGAAAGAAACTTTTACACTTTTCTGTCATTCTACTTGGTGTCTGCTTACAGGTCCCAGGTTACGAGTAGTAGCTTGTGTCCTGGCTGCCAAGCAACAGGATGCAGCTTCTCTCCTCTTAGCATTGGCCTGTGTTTCATTTGCTAGGTAATGGGATGTAATGGTCGTACCCCGGTGAGGTCGGGTGCCGCGGTCCGTCGCGGGCCTGTGCAGACACGTCGGGTCCTCTCCTCCTCGGGTCGCACACAGAAGGTGACGGCTCCTGGTGTCAGTGGCCGGAATCGTGCTGCGCAGGCGCGTTGTCGATCGTCGGCGCCTCTCTCTTTGCCGGGAGATACGTCCTGCGCAGGCGCGCCCCGTAGCTCCGCCCCCTCTAGAGCTAGCGCTCGGCTTAAAACCTCCGCTCGTTAGTTGATCGGCGTCCCACTATTGATGTAGGTGGACGCTGATCAACTCAGCACGCCACACGCTCCCTGGACCTCAGCAAGCCGTATCACTGCCGCAGACCAGCAAGCTCCAGCCTGTGCCACTCTGCCACGAGCTCCAGCAGAACTGCAAGTACTAGATGTAGAAAGAGCCAGCTGGCTCCAGGTCTCACAGACCAGACAGGATTATTGTCAGCTACTTCTACTTACCAACTGCTGTACTGTTCTCCTCCTATACAATCATCAAACTCCATATTGCTCCTCTCATGGTGATTTAGCCGTATGCTGTACTGTTAGTTATGCAAAAGCTGTGTCACTCAGATAATACTGATTAGCCTCTGCTGTGTTTTCCCCATCTCATGCTGAACTTAACCATTCCAGCACTGCTCACCTCATGCACCCAGACCATTGCCATACTGTTTATATCATACTGGTTATACCCACTGCTGCGATTAACCGGGTATAATCGTGTCTACTCAGCATCCTGAAACCCAGCGGGAAAATGATGTGAAGCAGCTCCCTCTCAGTCTCATACAAAAACGGGGCACGTGAGGGCAGCTGTTACTCTGATACCCGTACCCAGATACCGCAGTTGTGATCCATATAGCAACAGGAAGACCCGGTCCGGGGCGATTGTTACATGGGATGGGGCTCTGCTTGGCTAACATGCTGGTTGATGGAAAATGGGGCAGAGCTCCTTTTAGCTCCCCCCAGCACTTAAGCTGGCCTAACATCGCTCCAATTTCAGCCAAGGCTGTGTGACCCCCACCAGCACCCTCCCGTTTAACAAAAGGCAAGTGAAAAAAGAGCCAAGCCAAAAAATTACACATTGTGAAACCTTTATTTTCCCTAGCTCCCTTACCGGTTGCAGGGCAACCAAGCATGGCACATGCACCCCAGTCCTGGGATTGGTTTCTGCCACAAGAGGCACCTTATTTAAAGCTCTACATGTTTGGCCTTTGTGCTTGTGATAGCATTTCCTGATCGGTAGTACCAGTAGATGCTAACACACAACAGAACTATATAATAAAAATACGGAGTAAGTAGCTACTAGTCTCCCCTCCAAAAAAAACTTTAAAACCATGTAAAATCTGACTTTGGTAATAATGTTGTTTAGCTGGTGAATATTCTTTAGTAAAGCAAATTGGATATCAAATGAGTCAGTAGGTATTGGTTTACTCATCATACACTACTTTTAATGTATTAGCTATCCCCAATATATTTCCAAATATGTAGAAAAAAGTTCTGAGATTTGTCCAAAAGTTGATAAATATATATAATTATTTTTTTTTAAATCTCCAAATGTCAGCTATGTTAAGCTAAAAGAAGCCTATTAGGCATTTGAATTAGACTAAATTGTCTGAGATCCAAAAGTTTGTGTAACTGAAATATGACTACAAATAAAGATTACATTAGATAAATGAGGCAAATGTAAGTTCACCATTAGTGAAGATGATCTTAACTACAACCTTTCAATCCCCTGAGTGCAGACAGCTTAGCTTTATATTTACCCTCAGCCATGATCCATAACATTGATATGGACCCTGTGGGCCTCTGCCCCTTTAATTTCTATCAGTGAGCTAGACTTCAAGTGGCTGCTGGAGGCTGGGATTAGTGCAGCTACATTTTGAATTGATTGGGGCCAGAGCGTACATGTGCACACGGAAGAGGAGTGGGCCGGGTCCATGTGGGAGGTAAGATCATGACTGAAGGTAAGTATAAACCAGGTTTCCAGCATTCACTAATGGTGAAGTTTTCCTTTTAAACTATATTAAAATGTAATTGATCCAAGATTGCTCACCAAGAAACATCTGAGAGCAACAAACAATTACATGTTTAAAGGTATATTCTTCTATTCTTTTTTAGGTACATCCATAATACAAGTAACAGCTGTTGATAATGATGATCCAGCAGCTGCCAATAATGCCAGATTGGTATACAGCATTCTTCAGGGACAGGCCCATTTTTCAATTGAAATAAAGTCAGGTAAAAAAAACCTTAGGCATGAACACTCATGCATTTGTTTTCTTGTTCCATTAATATTCTTCTATTGCAAAATACTTATGCGGAGTCAACCATCATACTCATATTTTGCTTTAAGTAGTTTTCCACCAAATAATTATTGATTTTGTTCAAATCTATACATGCAATTAAACGTTAACACATAATACTGCAATGTGCTTTATGTTAGCAGTTGTGTTACTTTTATTAAAATGTATCTAGAGAGAATATTTCTGTTAATGTTGAAGGATTAGTACCTTTGTCAGATTTTTATTGCTATGTCCCTGTTATTATATGTTGTCTCCACAACAGGAATAGGGGGGTGCACTTGTCTAATGGGTACACAGGTTTTGGTAACAGCTGTCTTAAAGCGAGGGTCTAACTTGGGGGGGGGGGTGTCCCTTCACTTCCATTGTATCATCAGGACAATGTAAAGAGAAATAGTACACAGAGGCAAAAAATGGGTTTTACCCATTCCCAACTCTATCCAAAATGAAAAAAAGTTTTGGCTGTAGATATACGTTATATAGACAGTAGGGATGCACCGATACCATTTTTTCCAGACCGAGTATGAGTACCAATACTTTTCCTCAAGTACTCGGCGATACCAATTACCGATACCTTTTTTTAGCATCATGTGACAGTTTTTCTAAAACAATGCAGATTGTTTTAACAATGCAGATTGTTTGAACAGTGGTGGAGTGCCAGGGCCCAGTCACAGCTGCAACTGCTGCCACACTGGTAGTTCTGCCACTGACTCCAAACTGTAGTGGAACTACAAATCCCAGCAATACATTATACAGCAAATCAAAAAGGGACCGACTATAGTGGACTTTAGATCCCAGCAATCCTTTATACAGCAATGTAGAATAATGTGAAGCTACATATTCTGTGTTGCTCAACAGGGCTGTGTTTCATTTCAGGAGGTTGTGCGGGGTCTGACTAGGGTTGTACGCAGTCTCAACTGGGCTGTGCAGTCTCTCACCAGGGCTGCATGCAGGTCTCCCCAAGGCTGCATCTTGGTATCACCATGGCTGTATTCTGGTCTCACCAGGGCTGCATGTAGCTCTCACTAGGGCTGCATGTGGACTCACCAGGGCTGCATGTGGACTCACCAGGGCTGCATTTGGGTCTCCCCAGGGCTGTGTTCGGGTCTCACCAGGGCTGTATGGGTGGGTTCCAGGCTCTCCAGGGCTCTACTGGCAGGTGTGGGGCTCTCCAGTTCTGTACGGGCAGGTGTGGGGCTTTCCAGGGCTTTGCCAGTCTCTGCTGGCAGCGGGAACGAGATGTGCAGCTGCACCAGCACTGTCAAATACTTTTTTTCATGAATACAAGGCATGCTCTGGTTAAAGGAGGGTAGATGGGGACAGCATCTGTCCCTCCTTTCTACGTCATCCTTGTGCCCATTGAAAACAACATGTTTTCTGAATAGAAGAGGTGCCAAGTGAGTGACTCCCTGTGTTTTTCAAGAGAAGACATTACTCCAACACTGCCAGAACAGGAAAGCACTTACTGTATGTGGAAAAGAATATTACATTGATTTTGAGACTCCCCCGCAGCCATCTATATGTGACATAATTACAGGTAACCAAGCTGGCCCAATGTAAATGTTAAAAATAAATTATTCCTAGAGTTCAGCTTTAAAAGAGCAACAACAGCAACTACAAAAGGTAAAACACTTGTTAGCTGACATCTAGGGATGCACCGATAACAGTTTTTAGGTATTGAGTACGAGTACTGATTTTTTTTCAGTACTCGCCTATACCGAATACCGATACCGGCATCCCGAGATACGATGACTCGCCCAAATACTATCGGCACCAATACCAGTATTGGTATTGGTGCATCCGTACTAACATCTGATATCACTAAGCTCAATTTTTCCTTCAGTGATGAATAATGAGTTGCTGTCTGATTTAAGGGCTTGTTCACACCATTTTCAGACCAGATCTGGATGCATTTCTGCAAACACACTTATGCGTGTTTTTTATGTGTTTTTAATGCATTCCAGTGCATTTTTTCTGTCAGTTGGTGTGTGTTCTGGTGCATTTACATGCATTTTTGTGTGTTCCAAACCAGAAAAAAATGCAGCATGCTGAACTCATTTTGAAAGCTATGTAACTGAACACAATGGTGTGGACTAGCATTGCTTTTAACATTGGAATGACTGTGTATGCATTTTTAGTGCAGGTTAAAAACCTTCTGGTCTGGGTCTGGTCTGGAGATGATGTTCACACCATGTCTGGATCAGATCCAGACCAGAACTTTTTTGTCTGCAACTGAAATGCATCCCAATGTATTCCTATGGTATTTTTAGCCTCTGTTCACACCAGTGTAGTCTGTTCTGGGGGGGGGGGGGGGGGGGATGCTGCATGCACAATTTTTCTGGTCTGTAATGCACTAAAATGCATCAAAACCTCATGTAAATACACTGAAATGCACTGTACTGCACCTGAAAGTTCATTTAAAAAAACCCTCCAGAACCCATCAAAAACGCACTGCACTGTGTTTGCAAATCTGATCCAGATCTGGTCTGGACATAGTGTGAACAAGCCATTACTCTGGTGGTTTTAACTTGGAAGACTGTATATTTATGCATAGCATATTTTTAGATAAGACATTTTTGAATGGGCACAACATTTCCATGTGTGCTTTTGAAATTCTAATTTTAGCACAGAAAGACTTCTTTGCACTTATATAGATTAGTGTTTGTGATATAATAGACAGTTCAAATACATATACTGTTAGTTTACTGTTTACTTGCCAAAATAATTTGTAATATTGGTCATCAATTCTTTAGATACATTGACCTCTGCTAGTCCAGGAGTCCAATATGCTACTTCCTGGTTAATCATTATTGTTTTCTGGGTCTGCTTTATTTCTTCCTGGGGTCAACTTCTTTCTCATTAGACAAAAATGATGATGCTGATTCAGAGAGCAGTGATAATGGAAACCATCAAGGTGAGCTAGGAAGCCTAAATGCTCAAGCAAAAAATAAACGTCACATATTTGACTATGCAATGTACATTTGCAATGGCATAACAATAGTCACAGCAGCCTGAGAGACTTATATGGGGCCTGGCGGGGTAAGGGGGCCACATAGGGTGGCTGTTGAAGCAATTTAAATATATACAATCTGTGTGCATGGGAAGATAACACAAAATCATTATGTGTGCCCCTGTGACATTTACAATTAAAAAATGACCTCACGCATAGCAGGAGACTTGAAAAAAGTAACAAACAACTTTTTCAGGCTGTGCAGTAAGGAGAGTTTGTTTATTTTTTTTAGCAATGTAGATGAATTTCCCTTGGAGCTTCTGGACATCCTGGCCAGCACTTAAATTAGTCCTGTTTGCCTAATGCAGTCTTCCATAGGCTGTCTTAGTGTGTCTCCTCAGATGAAAACACTGATAAGTTTTTGTAGTTCTGCAAAACAAATCCCATGCATTATAGAAGTGGGTATTAGGGTTATAGGGTAATTGTGCACAAACAATTATGTCAAATTATAAAAATGTGATGGTCATTAAAATTGCCACTACAACTCTTTTTTAGTTTTCTTTTTACTGACAACTACAATACCTATTTTCAGAATTTGCTTGTTGTGGTGGTGAAATAATTTACACTGAGGCCCTGATATCTGAGTTACTGAACTAGACTGGTGAGCTATGAGGACAGAGGGGTTAGCTCAAGAATTCATGTTGAAAGTTAATTCCCTGCATGGGTGACCTGCACTTCCTTGATAGGTTTTGTCCATAGCACTGGCCCTTAGTATGCTGCCCCCTAGTGTGCTGACTATGCTCGCTGTGCTCCTGTCACCTGTCCTTGATTTGGAAATACTTTATGTTAAGATCAATGACAGTACGGTGATTGCCTCTTACTGCCCCAAAATTATAATAGCAAAATGTTGCTATTAAGTCCCATGAGCTGTAGTTACACCCCTGTGCATTCGTTATATAGAGACTGGCTAACTAGAATTACAATTCCTTTGTCAGGTAATACCGTAACCAAATATGTATTTAACTGTATCTTTAGCTGTTTGACTGGAATGTTCCTTCAATTGATGTAATGACAATACATACCACTCCTCCACAAAGAAACATAAATTTACATCTATAACAAATCTACCTTTATTTCAATACTAAAAGAATCGGAACTGAACAAACCTAGATATAAAACAGTTTTGTTCTTCCTTGGCATGTTAAGACCCCTTTACATTGTTCTTAAGAGTATCTAACTACTTGCATATTTTGGAAATGTGTTTTAGTTCCCAACAGGAGCAGAGGTATTTACTTACATACAAGGTAAAATTGCTTTAAAAGCTTGCAGGAACATTTCAAACAAGATGTTTTATCTGATGGGCATTAGGTGAAATAATAGCAATATGGAAATAACTTGTTTAAATTCACTACTTAAGGTAACAGCTAAGATGACAACCGGTAATATTCTGACAATATATAAGACATGCTAAAAAGTTATAATGTCATTTTAAAGTTTAATGGTGATGATGAATGTAAAATAAAGAGCTATCTACCCCAGTAGAAAAAAAAATACCTGTCACAACAAATATTCAGCAAAATAAAAGTGTAATGTTTTTTTTTAACTTTTTTGGAGCTACTTGTCTCTACAGAAAAATAGTCTGTCTTATGTTAACAGAACATCTACAAGTAACTTGAGGTTATACAATGTGTTATGAAATCTATCCATATACCAAACCAGAAATGTGTAAACTTTATATGTTACCCATGTTCTGAAAATAAGTATGAGCATCAGGTTTTGGGTTGTGAATGGAAGAGCAAAATAAGCCAGATGTGGCCAGTTCACTTACGCGCCCACCGGAACCTCCAACTGATGCAGTCAGCAGCCATTAATGTTGCTGTGGTATTACTACCAACATTAAATAACTGTTTCTTCAGCAGCTTGATTCAGATTGTAAATAAGCCAGTGGGCATCCCAGATGATGTTATTGACCAAATATGGCCATGTTG